TGTCCCTTCACAGATTTATTTATTACAAAATGCCATCAAGCCTGCAGGAGTGGAAGCACTGGTGGTCACTTCCACTGCCCTTTTTGCCCCAAAACAGTAATTAAAAGGCAGGATACAGTGAGGCATTTACAGTTCTGTGGGCCACCTCTCAATGACCACCAGTTGGATGCCGACTGCAGAGAAATGGGCACTTCCCAGACAGAGGAGTGCAAAGGTCTTAACTGGCTCTTAAATCACTTTTCATGTGGCTGTGTTGCTGCATTGGCTGTGTTCATTTCATGCTGTTTGTTTACTAATAGTTTGATTGTCAAATCTCTGCATCAGGATCTGTGGACCCTCCACTTAATCTCACCACAGACACACTTCCTGTATTTGTGAGTATGTGTGTCTGTGTGTTTACATGTGCATATTAGATGTGTGTGTGTGTGTGTGAGTCAGGTGCATTCTAGTGCTATGGGCCCTCCCTGCAGAGTGCGACGTCCAAAGTTGCCAACTGTACATTGTCCTCATTGTAATGGTGCATTCCTGAGAATGAATCAGAAAGCACATTTACAGACAACACAACGATAAAGCATACAGAGACATCACCGCAAAATCACATCTCAATGCTGTATGCATTGATGAGAAGAATGGGATTTATGCGGTGAAGTCCTTTCTTGGACCATTTGCCTCTTCATGTCCACAAGACAAACCTGGCATTGCCCATGTTCTAAACCAATAATGTCATGCATTTATAAATATATGGCCTAATGGCATTTATTTGAGACAGAGGCACCTCTTCAGGAAGGTACGGAGCACAGAGCGGACATCAGAGACGACTGAACAAAAAACATTACCTGAAAATATGGGCATCACATATCCCCCTGAAGATGACAGACAACAAAAAAATGGTGTCATACATTTACTCATCCAAGAAATACCCATCTGTTTTACCTGACAATGTTTTATCTGTCCAAAATGAAGACTGTCCGAAGCAGCTTATTCCTCTGGAAACAGTGTGCTCTGCATGTCCGGGAAACATAGTTCTTGGCCCACCAGTTCTAATCACAAGTCAAGCACAGATTGTGTCTTTGACTGGTGTTCTGAAAGGTAAGCTGAACTATTTTGTTAACTTGCTCCCAGTAGCACTGCTCCCAGTGTACTGTGCTTTGAGATGTCACTTGACACAGACTGTCTGAAACAAACTAATCTTAACACTGTATGAAACTGTAAGGCCCGCTTTTGTTTCATACCCACAGGCTACGTTGGAAGAGGAAGGCGGGGGGAGCGGCGGGGGGAGCTGCGGGGGGAGCTGCAGGGGATTATTCCGATGATCCTCACCCTGGAATCTGCAGACATTTCTGTAATATGACTGCAGGATTTGCTGAGGAGGGATGACAACTGTTTAGAGTTTCTGAGTTGTACTGTAGCTAGTGTTATAAATAGCTGGAAGGTGTCTGTTAGCCATGTAACTTGTTAATGTGGTATACAGACAATTTATTATCACAGTCTTTGGTCGATCTTCGTTGTTGGTCTGCAAAATACATAAAATATAACTGCTTTTCACGCTGAGATATATTTCCCATCTACGATTACACCTGTTTGGATTTAATATTGTGGGAAGATAAGCTTGAGTGCAACTTCTGTTGAATGCGTTTGTATGGAACGCCATTTGCATCAATATTAAATAGATAAATACAGCTATGAAATAAGAAATATAGCAATGAAATTAGTCAATAATTACATAAATACATGTAAATATAAATGTATAAATCACTTAATATGTAAAGAAATAGGTTTTATTTCAAAATGATGTTTTCCATTAGACAACATTTAATTATTTTGAGGGACTTCTATTTCACAATTCCAAATGTATTTATTTGAAGGCAGTCTTTTTTCATAACGGCATATTTATTTCATAATGACACATTCCATTTGGTATATTTAAATAAATGGGGCGTGAATTACAAGTCCCTCAAAATAAATAAATGTTGTCTTATGGAAAACATTACTTTGAAATAAAACCTATTTCTTTACATATTAAGTGATTTATACATTTACACGTATTTATGTAGTTATTGCCTAATTTCATAGCTATATTTATTATTTCATAGCTGTATTTATCTATTTAATATTGATGCAAATGGTGTTCCATACTTTTGCCTCTTAGTTGGCCTACATAATTTGTATTCTCTTACTTGATCATTTAAAGTAAACCTACACACTTTCAAAGTAAAGGTTTTTTTAAGTATTTGTTTTGCTCTTACCTTGTGTGTTTTTTAATTGAACAGTAACGGCAAAATACTTGAGAGATATCGGTCTATAATGTATAAATGTATTATAATGAAGATTAATGAAGACGATCATGTTAATGACAAAATACAAATATATGTCAATCTAAGAAATGAACACTTAAAGTATAGACAAGATATCAATGGTGGTGATGAGTTTCTACAGACTGACGACCTGGTGACCTGGTGTAGCAAAACCTTAGAGCTCAATGCTCTAAAGACAGTGGAGATGGTGGACCTTAGAAAGAACACAGCTCCACACTCGCCCATCACTCCTCCCAAACTGGAAACTGTTCCATTCCCCCCTGGCAGAAGGCTTTGGGCCATTAGTACCTATAATTCACGACTTTTCAACAAGGCCAGGGGCTCACGCAAACTTTCAACAGACTATAAAGGAACAACAGCAACTTTTGCACATAGCCATATCTTGTACTATAATAATATTTGCACTCAGTTACCTAATTAGTATTATTTTGTATTGTGTGCCATCACGTGTTTCACAGCGCCTAAGCATATAACTACTAGTATAGTTTTAATATTCAAACATGAAATGTAATAGTAATTCAGCTGTTATTATTTAAGGCATTAGGTTAATCTATGCAGTTAACAGCTTTGCCATTCCACAATAGGTCTGAAAGAGTTGGCTTCTTATTATCCCTGCCTGGATTAGTGTAGGGCAGGAGGGCATAGAACTATAGGCTACTATAACATTATTTTATTCAAAACTGCAAGCAAATCAACTCTTGTAACTTTTACAGGAAAATCACATATTTCAGTTTTGAATGTGAATGAATTAAACACGTCAATTCTGTCCACGATTTTGACAATGAATTGCAATAATGTGTTTTTGTAAGCAGTAAATGTAGCTATTTTGTGCACTTTACAGTTCAAAAAATAAAATCTAAATGTATTTGTTGAGCCCTTTTTACATCAGAAGATGTCACTAAGTGCACCACACACAAAATCAATTTGGTTTCAATTGATAGCAACAAATGTAAATAATTTGCGATTATCACATTTTGACCCTCTGCACTTACCATTAGACACGCCCAGGCATGAGTCTTTGGGCTGCAACCATACACTCTTGGAAATAACTTTATGTAACTATGTACATTTCACATCTAGGTTCAGGTCTTTAGAAAATGTTTAGGTATTTAAAACCTGGCCAATAAGTCTTTAGAACTTCCACGTATTTAATGTATACACTACAGGTTTTCATTTATGCCATGAATTAGAATAAAACAATTAATAACATCAAATGGGCAATTCTATGTGGAAAAGAAAACAAAAATAGAATTAGAACGAAAAATGTTTTACTCAGAATGGACTTAACAGTGTGGTAAAGTTTTAGAGCTCAGTCACATGCTTGTGAAAAGAGAAATGTTTTTAACTGGCTATTAAAATGGATACATACAGTAATGTGCTCTGTTCTCTTGGTCTTGGTTAACATTCTAGCAGCAGTATTGTGAATGAACTGCAGCTGTTTTACAGCCTTATTCTAAAGCTAACCTAATAGCAAAGACTTCACAATTTCCCACACCTCAATTCCTCTCAGCAGGGTTAAGCTTTTTGGAGAAGACTTTTTGGGTAGTTCCTTGACGCTGCAAGAGAATAACCCAACCCCAAACTTTGAGGCATTTACCTCCTCGGTAAACAGGTGAGTGGGATCACAGAATGGGGGCTGTGGTGAAGAGGGTTTTCCAGTTAGTAAATGCAGTGGCCGTAGAGCATGACACAGTATTCATTGTAACCCCGGTGTGAGATAAATATCGTCTTCCACCCATCCTTCTCCTGGACTAAATGGTAGACATTCCGTAGATCCAGTTTAGAGTAAACGGAGACTCGTCCTACCTGCTCATGCGCTGAAGAGATCAGTAGCAGTGGGTCCCCTTAGTCGACATAAGGCTGAAAACCCCTTTCCTTCCACCCAAAATAAGCTGGAGGCGGCTGGAGAAATTTGACTTATTTGTTCATTGGCTTCATATGAGCCTGCTTAACGATAACAGTCTTTATCGATAGCACTATTGAATAATTAATAAATATTTGTATAAATTATAAAAATATTATGCTTTACACAACAAAAAAACAATAAAATCAACAGCTCTTAAGTGGTAACAGCAATAACAGCAGGCTGCACTGTACGGCCCTGTAGAAGCCCTGAATTGGCTTATTATTGTCAGTGATGGAGACTTGTTATGTAGTTAGGATGTGCTCACCATGCTTACCTTGGGTGGATGATGGTTGTCCGTGTACCCCCTGGCCACCGTGATAAATATTAAACATAACTAGAGGTTACAATTTCTGCTGAAATTGTGATGTGTGCTTGCGGCCAGGGGTTAAAGTGGGCCGGAACGGTCCGGAACTGTGTTCCGGCACCTCAGATAAATTATTAAATAAATAGATCATTCATCATCATCATTAATATCAATGATAGAGTGGTGGAAGGCTATTGTTAAAAAAAATCGCGTTCACTGTCAAAATGCAGCAAGCCTGGTGTTCCTTTTGAATGAATTTTTCCGCAATCAAAACGTAATATCACCCCGTGGCCCCGCCTTCACAAACATGCTTAACGACCAATCAAAACGTAATATCATCCCGTGGCCCCGCCTTTACTAACGCGCTTACCGACATAATTACGTCATATCCTGGGACTGTGCAGCAGTGTAATTAACTCAAATTGCGAAATCGCGACTTATAACTAATAGCTACTACTTGACTATGCCACTATGTGCCTGTTTGGTCCTGTGGTTAGAGGGCTAGGCTGATGAACCAGAGGTTGCGGGTTTGATTCCCCCCAGCTGCTAAAGTATGTCTTTTGAAATAGTTTTTAATCTTTTATTTTCTGAATATTATTTTTGTCCATGTGAAAGATGTGTCTCTTTGCGGTAACACAGTAAAAAATGTGGCGCTTAGTCTCTTGACTGGTTGGCCACCCCTGATCTAGGTTGTGATAAATTTAAGTCAGTTTTGGACAAGGTTGTTTTCCATATTGTGGTGTTCAGCAATTTTGTCACACCCTTGTCCCAAAAAGTATTGCTATACCACAATACTCATTATGTTGTCCCACGGTGAGTCATTTTCCCCTCTTGCATCTACACAAAATCTGAGGGTTCCCCCACCTGCCAAATCCCACTTTAACCACTGCTTGCGGCCACCCGTAGTCGACTGTGTACTGAAATGAACTGCCAATGTCCAGTTAGCACCGGGTTTAAATACCAACGTCATCACTTGACATGATTGTTTTGTAAATCTGAATCCACACAGTGATGGAGCCTACACATACAGGAGAAGCTAGCTGGCACGCTAACATGCTAACGTTAGTTGCTTTAGTGTGAGCCAAAACATACAGGAGTAGCTAGCTAGCGCGCTAGCATGCTAACGTTAGTTACTTGAGTGTGAGCCTAAACATACAGGAGTTGCTAGCTAGCGCGCTAACATGCTAAAGATAGATGTTTGACTGTGAGCCTACACATACAGTAGGTGCTAACTGGCAGGCTAGTAGGGTTGCCAACTTTGTCACTATGGAATGAGGGACAAAAGGTGGGCTGGTTTTGTGCGAAATTAGCCTACAGTTTATGATTTTTAGGCTTCGCTTGCCGCTATTTTGTCAGTTTCCACAGTAGTTACCTCGAAGAATCCACAGATATTGCTTGCACCTTTAGCTAATGTGGCTTTCTTGTGCATTTCTGCGGAAGCACGTTTATTCAAGTCATTCTCACTTCCATGGGCAACTGAAAATTCCCTGCGACATAAAGTACAGATACAGAAGGCTTTTGTTGCGTCACTGCTGACGGGCTTAATCCATGTATTTTTTTCTTCCCAATTTTTATTGTAGCTGCACAGTCTTTTCTTTTTTGCAGTATTAACATATTTGCTGTTTTATCCACATGCCAAATCGATTATAGACTGAACAACGTTCTTTATGTGTGTGTATGGAATTGACCCTTCGCTTAGCCACGCCCTCCTTAGTTACTGTTGCTACGCCTGTCAAGCTTTCGAGCCTGGCACGTCTATTTCAGTATGTATGCACCGGTGTCAGACATTCCCAATGAGATGTTTAGTCATTTTTGGCGAACAGGTGAAATATCTGAAAGGGCAAGACAAAAGGGGCTGCAGTATGCATTCTAGGGATATATCCACGACATAATATGCAACCGATTAGAGAATAACGTCTTTAAAATTGAAAAACTAAAGCCTAGGTACCAGCGCAAGCAGCAGCTGCATACGCTAACCATTCAAGTGGGAAACACACAAATTAAGGAACAGCTATGTTCATGCACAACAGGGTAAGTGAATATAATCTAACAAATCTTGTGGAATAAGCCATTTGCTTGACCACTTTACAATGCTAACATTCTACCGCTTATATTTTAGCGCGCCAGGCTACTGCTTACATATCATTGGTAGTTGTCCCTAAAAAGCAAATAAAAACCGTATGCGGAGACCAATATAAAGTATAAAGCATGAGAGCATGTGTGTTCTGTAATACATCTCGCTGATAAATAAAGTGTACCTATAGTGAGCACATGACTACTGTACCGTTAATGAACTGATTAAGTTCGCATACCAACCTTTTCCTTGGAGATCTCCGGCAAGCCCCCTGATGTTTGGTCTTTAGACCGAATACCGGGAGAGCCGCGATTGGATTGGGGTACTCACGAGTATTTTATGTATGTCAGTGAGCCTCCGTCCACGCCCGGCATTTCTCCCCTTGGGTTTTAGGTTTTGGGAAAGTAAAAAATTCCACCTCCCCGTCCAAACTTTTAGGATATCGGGTATCAGATTTACACAATCCATAAGCACAACGCGTTGGCATGTTTCCCTTGCTCGAAAGCTTGACAGACCTTCTGCGCTTAGTTACGGTTGCTAAACCACGAATTTCCTGTGGCGGTTTTCGGGCGTGGCTTAGCGAAGGGCGCATTTACTTAACGTGAGGGAGGCTGGCTGTGTGATATGTGATTGGATGATGATGATACGTCAGGTGTGAGGTGTCGCCTTGTCAGTAATCATTCTCAATCTCAAGTGTCGTCGTGATCAGATTAAGCACTGCTGATGTTGAATCAGTGGTTAGATCAGCGTAGTAGTCAAAAAACGGGACAAGTGAGGTCCCGTGCGGGACAGATTAATTAGGCTCAAAATTCGGGACGTCCCGCCTAATTTGGGACAGTTGGCAACCCTACACGCTAGCATTAGATGTTTTAACTGCCCAGAGATACACATTCACAGCGTTAGTTGAATAGATTCATGCATGGTTGTATTCTACCAGTTATATTATCAAAACTATAAGTCTCACAGTTTAAATACTTACACCATGAGACTCTTAATATTTCTCTGTAACGTCAAAGATGTGGGCGCTATCACAGTTTACAAACGGGTAAAAAACGACTATCTAGCCACGCATTTCTAGAGGCTGGATTCAAAGCTTTACAGTAGCTGTATATGCAGAGGCGCCAGTTGGAAACAAACAGTCATAGCTCAATAACTATTTATGTTACGGCTTATAGTTTGACATTTTTATTGACAGCACAAATAGTACTGAACATTTTGATATGACATTTGTGTGTGTGGACCTGAAACTGTAGGAGCAGCGGCAGTTTAAAAATGTTCCACATTTTCAGAGTAAGCAGCACTCACACTCTATACTTGAACATTCCGTCAATGTATTTCAAAGGGAATTAATTGGCGACAATATCATTAATATTTCGTAAAAATCCCGACCGGAATCTTCTACAAAACCATAGCAACAAAATAGGGTTCGGGACACACATTTTGAGGGAGGAGATAGCCAAGGGTAGTCAAAAAGTGATATAATAATAATGTATATTTGAGTGAGCATGGATCTGGCCATTATGGACGGAATACAGTCAAACTTCCCATGTTGGTCATTCAGGGGTTTTCTGGGGAGATTTTTGAGTGGCAAGGGTTTTGGAGTCAGTACGAAACAACCATATATGATGATGAACATTTGTCTGACAATTACAGTTATTTGAAATCATTTTTGACTGGCACCCCAGCAAGTGCAGTGGCAGGCCTTGCCTTCTCTGATATTAATTATGACACTGCCATTGATCTGCTCAAGAAATGATTTGGCTGTAAAGATTTAATGGTTAATGCCCATATGAATAAGTTACTGAACACGACTCCCTTAAAACGTGCAACTGACGTAAATAGTTAGCGTAAACTATGTTGACTGTCATATACAGGTGCGTACCCTTGATGCGTAAGTGTTTTAGCGAACACATATGGTAGTTTTTTATGTCCAATCTTGTTGAAAATGTTCCCAGAGGACATTGCTCTCAAATTCACCAAATCAGAAGCCAATAATGTTCTCAAAGCAAAATAATTGATGGACTTTCTGAAAAGAGAGGTGGAGAGCAGAGAAAGAACTGTGAATCTCACTCAGAAGAAAGAAGTGTTTCAGAGTCAACGTAGCTTTATCCGTGAAGATATTTCTAGAGTTTTGAACCTGCGAGTGGGAACAGAAATAATAAAGATACACGTATTTAGTTCCGAAAAAGCCAAAACAATGACAGTAAAAAGGGTTAAGCTAGTCTTAAGATTCTAAAAACGAATGTGTCTAATGAAGTTGAATTATAAGAAACCCCAAGTATATGTTCACCTAACCTTAAAACGGCAACTGAAGAAATCAGACGCTCTCTTGAAGCAAAAGGATTACAAGTCACGGATCACCCTGTGAGAGGCATGGAGCAGGAAGGCATTGGACTAGCAGTGTTCGGGTCTTTAAAATGTGTTTTTTATTGTATAACATAACAGTTTTAATAACAATATGTATTTTGGGCTGGTATTTTAATTTTTTTTAAACAGGCGGGTTTTAAGCTGTACTTGTGCTGGAAATCTTTAGTCCAATCTGGCAACACTGCCTATGTAGCTTGTTACACATCCATTAAATCAGTCCATCACCTTGGGGAGTTAATTTGCTCAACTTTTGACAAAGACAACAAAATGCACAGCATTAATTAACAATCTCATTGCTCTGTGTCGGTTCACAGAACTTCAGAGTGATATTGGAGGTGCTGAATACTATTGGAGGTGCTGAATACTATAGGAGGTGCTGAATACTATTGGAGGTGCTGAATACTATTGGAGGTGCTGAATACTATTGGAGGTGCTGAATACTATTGGAGGTGCTGAATACTATTGGAGGTGCTGAATACTATTGGAGGTGCTGAATACTATTGGAGGTGCTGAATACTATTGGAGGTGCTGAATACTATTGGAGGTGCTGAATACTATTGGAGGTGCTGAATACTATTGGAGGTGCTGAATACTATTGGAGGTGCTGAATACTATTGGAGGTGCTGAATACTCCCTAGTTATTGATGAAAGTACAGTAATCCGCTATTTCAGCCACTGAACAAAGTTATGCCCACCTCTTTGGGCTTGATAAACTTGGAGGGTGAAACAGCAGACAATTGCCTCCACTCTGACCCGTTTTCTACAGAGTATTGGACTGAAAAGTGCATTGGATTAGGTACAGATGGCTGCAGTGTTGTGGTAGGGAAGAGGAATTCAGTGTACACTCACCTTCTCCAGAAAAACCCAAATCTCCAGCTGCTCAAGTGTGTGCCATTCCATACAATTGTGTGTAAGCAAGGCAGTGGAGACCCTCCCACGCAACCTTGAATACTTGGTCTCTCATTCTCACAACTGGTTTTCCCACAGTGCTCTTCGCCGCCGTATAAAAAGATCTACAGCCTCATCAGTCCTGATGAAATCCCTTTGATGCTTGTACAGATGTCAGGTACACAATGGCTTTCAATCCATGATTGCTGTTTGCGCATAC